TTTTTGGTTTTTACCTTTTCAAGGGTCGGTAAACATAATTTCAAGTAATTTTAAATCTGATTCAAGACGGTGTCCCTAAACACCTTTGTCTGGTGTTTTTTTTTTATTTACAATTGTGGTTCCTCTCTAATGTCTTGCTAAGATGTGTGAGTTAGCAATCTTCCACATTAAAGAATTAAAAGTTCTAATTTTGTGAATAAAATAAAAAAGTCCCTGAAAATTACCACGAGGACCAAAAAGGAAAACAGTGAACGGTCTCTTTATGTGTTACGTGTTTCCAATAATTTTGAAGAAAGTGGAGTTAATCAATTGATATTTGAAATTTTATTGAGAAACGTGAAACAAAAAGAATTTTAGCATTTATACTTTTTCATCCAAGTTTTTATTGTGAGAAAGCCATTGAAAGGAATTGAGTCTTTGCCACAAACTCTGATTTTATAAAGCAATTTATAACCTACTCTGGTTAGGCGGGTCCAAACTGCGTAGTAAATTGTGATTATTTTTAATATCTCATGCTTTGTAGTTGAAAAAATATATGAAAAATATGAAATAATCCCATTATCTTTTGAAAACAATGTCATGGACCTTAGATATTTCAAACTATGAATAATCTTAGTTTGAACTGTTAAAGGTTGCAATGATAGGGATTAGAAAATTTGAGTTTGTGGCAAAGTCTCAGTTTCTTTGTATGAAACCTTTGTGTACTTTATCTTTCATACTAATCTCATGGTAAATTTCAATTAAGTTTTTATTGTGCTGCTATGCGTGAAATCAGCTTGTTGACGGAAAACAGCAACACGCTAGACAAATCAGGATAATAGGCCGGTTAGGATTCTGGTGGGGGATACTCTTATAAAGATAACTTTTCTCCATGGAGGTATTTGTACAGAAAGGAATAGATGTCATGGACCTATAATTTTTCAAATTATTAATTCTTCTAGATCAATTAGTCCAAGGTTTTATAAAGGTTTACAACATCAGGCTGCAAAGAAACAGAGATTAGAAAATTCAAGTTTGTGTCAAAAACTCGCGAAATGTTCGTGAAACAAAAATGCGAAATTGCGCAAAAAACGAAAATTTTCTCTATTTCAACGGACGGAACGCGAAATTTTCGCGAAACCATTTCCCCATTTCCCTGGAAACCCTAATTGAAATTAATCTAACGACCTGAATTATTCAAACCGTGGCCTTCGATCTTTAACTTTAACCTCTGCACAAAGCTAAAAATAATTGAGAATTAAAAAAGGTAAATATATAACTTTAGCAATATTAAAGCTTAAATCCATGTATTAATCATTACATCATGACTAATATTAGTTCAATTTAAAATTTCTTGTTATTTTTTAATCAAAAATACGAAAAACAAAAATATTTCTTATAAACTGTTTGTGAATAGATACATAATTATTTTTACAGAGAATTGTTGTTTTCTTGTAAACATGAACATCTATCTATCTATCTATCTATCTATCTATCTATATATCTATCTATCTATCTATCTATCTATCTATCTATCTATCTATCTATTTATCTATCTAGCTATCAAACTATCATTATACCTGTTTTTTAATTCAAAACTATGCTTTAAGACGCTTCACGCCCCTTTTTCGTGTAAAAATTGTAACTTTTAAATTTTGCTTTACTTTTTTCATCGATATCCAAGTTATAAATAATTGTTTCGGGAATTTTAGTTAAAATGGTCCAATTTTTATTATTGACCATCTATAAACTTTTCGTTGGGTCATATGAATTACCACAAAAAAATAAGCCCGACCATTTTTAACGTTCATTGGATACAAACGGATAACAAAAATTAAATTGATAAAATTTTATAAAGTGAATATTACAAAACTATACGGTTTATGTTCCTGCTAGATTCTTGTACAGGAATGTTAAGAAAATTAATTAACATAATTTAATTAATTCATCTAATTAATGCAATTATTATTTAATGAAATAATTAGGCCGAAGTTTATTTTTTAAAGGGACTGTACTTGTCATTTTAAGTAAATCTTAATTTACAGAAAGCCTACCCGATTTACAACTGTACCCTTGACACTTTTATCTGATCGAAAATTTGGATGTTATCGTTGTTTTTCTAGTTATTATTACAAATTCTCTATTGTTTCTGTCTCAAAATCACGCTAATAAACAGTTTTTAATTTCTAAATTAACAACCAGATTTAGACGTTAATCATAATATTAAAAGTGTCTTTATCGGTAAAATGCACAACTTCAAAGCAAAAACTATATTTCGAGGTTTTTTCTACATCAATACAAGTCTTGATGAATGTGAAGGGCTTTAGTCCTTCGGGTGTTTCAAGTCGCATTTCCTTTTCATAAAATAAAAACAATATTTTTTCTAGGAAAAATTTCACTAAACTTCCCCTTGGTGGTCATTTTTAAAGTAAATGACCTTTTTGGGAGATTTTTCAGAAAATATGGAGACACTTTTTTTGAATCAGAAAATTAAAACCTAGCTCTCTTCAGGCAGTTGTACAGTTTAAATGTTTAAATGGTACCATGGTACCATGAATTTGTAATATTTTTAAGGCCATATGGTTTGAAAAATGGAGGTTCTAACAATTTACCAATGAGCTTTTACATTTCTTGGAACTGTTTACGAAAAGTCACAAAAATTTTCTATCACCCATAAACGAACTGATTTTTTAGATTTTCATGTTAAAAAAAACAATCAAAAAAGTATTTTTATGTTGTTAAAATTAAAGCAGAAAAAACATTATCAAGGATAGATATTTTTTTGAAATGAAAGATTTTTTGTAATAAAATAAATATTATTATCAATATGCACTGTACAAGTGTACACCTGTGTAAACAAAAGAAAAGGAAAATTTGAAATTGAGGTTTTAAACTCGGGAGTAAACTAAATTTAATCTGGAAAAATAAAACTAATTCCAAGCACTTTTAGACCTTTTGTAATTGAACTAGTAACAAAAATTTAAAGTAATGATTCAAAATTTTATTTAAATGGACTGTAAGCGTGATTTCAAATGAGCCTCTCTATGCCAAGATGACAATTCTCGATCGGTACCCTTGAAACCTTAATCTAATTAAAAATGCCTTCGTGCTCTTCTGACTTGGAAACTGTTTAATTCTGCGAGTTTCTTTATTGCTTCTTATAAACAAGAAATGCGTAAGTCAATTTTGCAGAGAAACCGCAAATGAGCAGTTTAAAGGAAGAAACAAAATTATTTTTAATTCATACTTGATCAGACAAAGATTTTAAGGCTACCGTTTTATATCGGGCATTGCCATCTTTGCATGAAGGATCACTTGAAATTACGCATACAGTCCCTTTAAGAACAGTCCATATAACCATGATGTCTTAAGTGAATTTTAAAAGATTTGAACACTCATCACAATTTTTTTTGATCTCTATATCTTTGCAAACTTTGATATTTCAAACTTTAATTATTTGATCAAGCAGAATTCATAGTTTAAAATATTTAAGGTTTATGAGATCAGGATGCCAAGATATAAATGTTTTTTAAAAAGATAATGTTTTAAGCAAAAATATTTCTTTTTTAATATTGTAGGCAGCGTATAGAAATTATCTGAAGGTAACAAATCAATTTTTTTATTTAGTTTTTATTATTATTATTATATTACTAGTTTTGAATGACAATATGATGATGAAATATGGTGTAGTATATCTGTTTATATTCCTGAGTAAATTATAACATATCAAAACACAATAAACCAGCAGTATTTTTCATATCAACAAAATTACGCGACCATCGTATCAATGCAAAGACTTTATCTGACTATTGTACGCTCTGTACAGTCGTATTTGACGGCATCGGTTATTTTGGTGAATGTTTTGTGATAAATAAATGGTTGCATATCTATAAAACCATTATTTTGTTAACTGATTTGTAGGGATTTGGGTTAAAAAGTTTTAATCCCTAGGCTTTTAGGGCGCTTTGCGCCCATCTTCTATTTCAACTTTTAACTGTGGCTTTATCTATGAGCATCCTCTTTTTTAACAGTATAAAAAAAGTTTGTGGATTTCAAAATATTTTTTCGCGCATTTTCAAAATTTTACAAAAAAAAACTTTTAAACACAAAGTTTTATAATTCTAATCATTCATAAACTTTCCTGGGGTCATTTATATTTAGCTTAAATGGAATTAAACTTCCAAGTTAACAAAAAATGCCTGTATACATTGGAGAAGACGACATATTTTTACAATCTTTATTATTTCAAACAAAGTGCGTAGAATTTGCGTAGATTTTCCGCATCTTTATATAAAGAGTCGTTGCATCAATGAATGCTTTACACACAATGAATTCCAGTCAGGGGTGTATACAGCAAACTGTCCGGGGGCATGGGGTTGCACCACCTGAAAATCACTTATCCAGGGGCGCTCAACTCCATGCTCCCCCCTCCCGTCCGATTCCAAACGATACCCTTTAAAATGTTATCTGAGTAATGATAAGGAATATTATTTGTCACTATTTTCTTTTAAACATTTTTGACTTTTTCCGTCATCGTCTGTACTGCATTAGTCTGCAAGTCACTTATGTATTGAAACAACAGTGTTGAAGATAATCAATTTTCAGCAATGCAAATCTCTCAATCATCCATGTTCAGACAAAAATTACAAGAGTACTGGTGAAAACTGAAAATGATCATGTTTTGACAACCTAACTGTTGTATACCCTTTATTCAATATTCATATTATTTTATATTATTATGTAAAGCATTTATTTTGACTTTTATAAATTACCTTCACATCAAATATAAGCTGAACATTTATTAAAAAAATTTGGTGTATGATTTTTATTGAATATTATTTAGAAGATATCCTGGAATAAATATTCTCTATTCTCCTTCATTCTCTGTAGGAGTAAAAACAAACCCACATATTTTACACTTACAGCTACACTGGGCTTCATAGGCCTAATCAGACGAAACAAAGACGATTTCCTGCCGTTTCACATAACTGATAGCACGGCAATTCGCGCGCGGACACTACCTGGGTATTGCCTTCCACATACATTAACTTAGGTGGGAGGGGCACAGTGGTGGACCGCCCCTCTGCCAAGTTGCATCACTGGTTAGGTTTAGATACAGCTGTTGAGGATGGATAGATTTGAACTGGGCAGGCTAGCCTGGAGGCCGGGCCTCGGAACTCCAACACCCGCCATCATATACTGTATTCTAATGCAACCCTAGCCTTTACACTTTACAGTTATCCAGTGCACAACCCTATGTGCGAAAATGTTTACATTTTCTCTCTCTTCCCTTCCTTGAAAGAAACCTAAATATAAAACTAAGGAATTTTGAACCTGTTTCACCCAGATATGTTTATATGACAAGTAATGAATGTTATGGAGGGCATGAGAGGATTAATGGAAAGATGAGTAGAGTTAAAACTTTTATTTCTGGGTATTAAGTCACATATTGCTGGGGTGTTAAGTGTTGTAAGGAGAGGATACGAGGAGGGGGGGGGGGCACGGGGGCTGGGCCCCCTGAAAGTACAAATAATTCATTTATTTGCGTAAACCTTGAGAAGAGGGTAAACAAGAAAGGTTTGTGTACATATCATGTTTCCTCAACCAATTATTTCAGTGCGGAGCAAACTAGGAGTTTTAAGTGGAGTAGGAGTAGTAGTGGGAGGAGGAGGATAATGATGAGGGGGAGGAGGAGGAGGATGGGATGGTGGGTTAGGAGGGAGAGGAGGTAGGATAAGGAAGAGGGGGAGGTGATGAAGGGGGAGGAGGAGCAGGGGGAGCAAATGAATTATTTTAATTATTTAAAGCATGTATTTTCATCAAATGCGAAGTAATCATTGAAAAAACAACTTAAACTTATTAAAAGGTTAAAGAACTTATTTGAAATCATTGCAAAGTGACTTTTATTCTTTCCATATCTGATTTGTCCCTAATTAACTAATCATTCTTTTCCTAACTGATAATCTTCTCCTAACTGATAATTCTTTACCTAACTGATAATTCTTTTCCTAACTGATTATTCTTTTCCCAGCTAATTATTCTTTTCTTACTGATAATTCTTTTCCTAACTGATAATTCTTTTCCTTACTGACAATTCTTTTCCTAAGTGATTGTTCTTCTCCTAACTGATTATTCCTTTCCTAACTGATAATTTTCTCCTAACTAATTATTCTACTCCTAACTAATAATTCTTTTCCTAACTGATAATTCATGTCCTAACTGATTATTCATGTCCTAACTGATTATTCAAGTCCTAACTGATTATTCTTTTCCTAACTGATTATTCTTTTCCTAACTAATCATTCTTCTCCTAACTGATCATTCTTTTCCTAACTGATAATCTTCTCCTAACTGATAATTCTTTTCCCAACTGATAATCTTCTCCCAACTGATAATTCTTTTCCTAACTGATTATTCATTTCCTAACTGATTATTCATGTCCTAACTGATTATTCCTTTCCTAACTGATTATTCATTTCCTAACTGATTATTCATTTCTTAACTGATAATCTTCTCCAAACTGATCATTCTTTTTCCAAACTAATAATCTTTTTCCTAACTGATAAGTCTTTTGCTAGCTGATAAATATCTCCCAATTGATCATTCTTTTCCTATTTTATTATTTTTTTTCCTAAAAGATATTATTTTCCGAGCATAAAATTGCAACTTGAAAGTTTTGGAGGATTTTTTTTTCCTGGTAGATTCTAAGCTCATGTTTTAGATCACTCAATTTACAGGCATCAAAATAAGGACGTTTCCGTCCAATATGATTAGAAAAGGTTTCAAATATTTATGTACCCTTGTTAATCCAACACATGATTGTCGTCTAAAATCATGCTTCTCTATAGTATCTTCATAGCACAGCTTAGAACAGGTTAGGATATATATAATATATAAGTTTATAGGTAAGTGGTTAGGATATATATAATATATTTCAATATTTGTATGAATATATATGTATACATAATACATGGTTAACAGCAACTAATTGCAGATATATGTTTTCTTGTCCCTTTTAATTAAACGAACGTAGCAAGCATGCTAAAAAATATTTCACCTTTAGAAAAATTGTTAACAAATTCTCTTGTGTCTCATCAATTTTGTGCTACTTTGCCCCAGCTGAAATCTTTGAACCATCTTCATCCCAAACTCCATTATACCGGTCTTGCAGGCTAGATTCCTTTTCTCATCAGTGTTGTGTTCAACCTGAAATGAGGAAAGATGTTTATGGATTGGAAAAAAAGGAATAGGAGAAAGAAAGAACAAAAATGCTACACATTACACAACTTGTTTTAAAGGGATTTCGATGTCAGTACGGTTGTGAATTGAATTTCCCACTTTAAAGTTTAACTTTAAAGTTTGAAATTTTGTTTACAATCCCTTTAATTAGCATATTTAGATAATAAATTGTTGTGCAAAAAAAAAGTAAATGAAACTTCATTTTTGTGCTTTTCTAAAAAGAAATTCCTTAATCTTAAAGTTGTAAAAATGTGAAGTTTTACAAAAAATTATATTTAGCTTATTATCTTTCTATATTTCGAATCAAAAACATTAAAACTGAATCTTTTCAGATTTAAGATCCTCCAAATTTATCAAAAACAAACGTAAATCTGTCTCTTGGTGCAAAACACTTTTTGTAAGTCAAGCTTAAGGGTTTTCAGTGTTTAAAAATCTTAATAGTTGTCTGATAGATATTTAAAAGTTTCAAAGTATCTAAAGTATGTCTGGTGAAGACATGAATCCAGGAGATTTCAATATTTCAATTTCCATCCCATTTTCCTTTTGTAATAAACCTTAGCTAATATATTAATACTTTTTTATTTATATATCTTCTATTCAATTCAACTCATGGCTTTTAGCATCCAATCCGATCCTAACATCCTCCATTCCATTCATTTCATCCAATATATGCCTGGTATCCAACAATCCATTCCTGGTATCCACCAATCCATTCCTGGTTTCCACCAATCCATTCCTGGTATCCACCAATCCATTCCTGGTATCCACCAATCCATTCCTAGTATCCACCATTCCATTCCTGGTATCCACCAATCCATTCCTGGTATCCACCAATCCATTCCTGGTATCCACCAATCCATTCCTGGTATCCTCCAGTCAATTTTCAAATTGAACCATGGTGAGTGCTACAATGTCTCTAAAAGATCGTTTTTTTTCGGGACACTCTGTATAAATTTTATTTTATATGTATATTAACCTAGGGAAGGTTTACGACTAGTCAAAAATTAAAAGATTTGCACGGGAAAAATGCCGACATTTATTATTTTTGAAAATCCACCAATTTAAGGAGGAAAATCAGCAAAAGTTTTACAATAACGAAGAAAAAAATGGTGACTTGAATTTAGCCTGGAGTTTAATATATTCTTAATGTTGTAATTATATTATTATTAAGCACATATCCTAATTCTGTGTTAACTTTGAATTTTTAATCCTTTTTTAACAGTTTTTTGAGAAAAGTATTTGAACAGAATTTGATGTCATCTGAAATGAATGTACTATGCAGAGCAAAAGGTACAAATGCAAGGAAAGTTAATTTCGGTTGCGTATACTCTACGTACATATTGAAACCAGTTCTCTCTGGGCGGAATTTGTAAACAAGAATAGATGCATCTGAGGAGGTTAAAAACATTAAATTTTGATAATTTTGAAAATTCACATAATAGTTTCCTATGACCAGAATATTTCATAGATTATTTTTGTGAAAATTGATTCCATGTCAGGCTGTGACATCCGTCTTGTGTTTACTTTTCTGCAGTACAAAAATTGCGTACACCGCTGAAATAACTTTCCTTGCATTACATCCTTGATGCAGAGTAAAATTAAGCGAACAAGCGAACGTTACATTTTACAGGAATCTTAAAATTTTAGGAATCCTCTCAATGAAACTGTTCAGTTAGGAAAAAGAAAAAACTTTTAGAGTAACTTTACTTTGCGACAAAACCAAGGCTGTAAAGGCCAAAAAAATCAGCAAGAGTGATTTTTAATTTCCTTTAAAACCCGTGATTGCTGTTATATAAGGGTTAATGTTTATAAAATCTTGTTTCGTAAGATATATCCAAGAGAAGGATAAGTCTGATGTGGAAACAAAAAAGAAACCCCAAAAACTGAGTTTAGTTTAGAATGGTTTGAATGTGAGGAAAGAAGGGTTATTGACATTTTTCTCTCAGTCTCTCTTGCAATTGTTTCTATATTAAAAAACTACTGAAGGTAACTGAAGAATGATTTTATGGGACCTTTTTTAATTTAGAAATGGGAGAAATTTCCGATTCACAGCGTTACCCTTTAACACTTTATCTGATCAATAATGTGGAAGATATCGTCAATTTTCTTTCCCTAAAATGTGTTGAGGTATGACAAGGTTCTCATTTGCTTCTGTTTTAGCAGTACTCCGCAAAGTTATTTTTATAGAAAAATGACATCATCTTCTATTTTACAAAGGTTCGCCTACTGTACCTTTAAATACTTAAAGTTAAAAGTTTCTGTATAATTAATTATGGCTTAGCACTATAACTGTGTTTTGTTCTTGAAGCATTTTAAAGTTTTGGTCTCTGGATTTAAAACTTCAATCCCGAAACCGTGTTTTGCTTTCTTAGCATGTTAATAGTTCCTGTCCCAGGAATAATTATAAATCCTAAATTACAGCTTTCAGCTTGTTTAAAGTTTCTCTAGAATTAAGGTAATAAAAAAATGGTTCACCGTTGTAAGCTTGCATATTTAGAAAAAATAGAAAAAAAAACAATGTTTTTCTCTCTCAGAATGTTAGAGGATTCTGCCTCAGAATGAATAATATCTGGGAAACTGTGTTTGATTCTCTGAGCTTGTTAAAAGTTTCTGTCCCTGGATAATTAATGTATTGGAAAACACTTTCTGTCCATTACCAAACAACGTGTTATGTTTGAGAGTGAGCAGGGTACCAGAAAATATATTACATAGAGTACTCAGGTTTACGGAGTATGTGTGTTACTGGAAAATATATTTCAAAGAGTATCAAGGTTTACGGAGTATGTGTGTTACCGGAAAATATATTACATAGAGTACTCAGGGTTACGGGGTATGTGTGTTACTGGAAAATATATTTCAAAGAGTACTCAGGTTTACGGGGTATGTATGTTACTGGAAAATATATTTCATAGAGTACTCAGGTTTACGGGGTATGTATGTTACTGGAAAATATATTTCAAAGAGTACTCAGGTTTACGGAGTATGTATGTTACTGGAAAATATATTTCAAAGAGTATCAAGGTTTACGGAGAGTATATGTTACCAAAACATACAGGGTGTCCCAATAAACATGGGAATTCAGTGACGAATCCGATATCGTCTTTTCAAATAATTCTTTGATATAGTATAGTGATACCTACTGAGAAAGCTGTAATCTATAAGAGTTTCGTCTGCTATGTTCACATTTGTTTGTTTATGTTTTGACTTCATACGGTTGTACTTAGTAAAGAAAATTGCAGTATACAAACAGAGTAAACTTGTCCGTCTTCACCGTTCATCTTGCGGAGACATTATAGACACATCTTTACAGCCATTTACCGTTTTCATAGAATAAACTCTAGCAGACATAATAATATTTTTTTTGTTTGAAATTAGGTATTACAATGCTAATTCATAACAAAGACGATATCGAATTCGTCACTGAATTCCCATGTTTTTTGGGACACCCTGTATATTATATAGAGTACTCAGGTTTACGGAGTATGCATGTGACTGGAAAATATATTACACTGAGCATTAAGTGCAAGATAACGGAAAATTTACTAAAGAGTATCAAAGTTTACGGAGAAAGCATGTTACTGGAAAATACAGCGTGTCCCACGAAACATATCAGTTGGTGAATGGTTTAGAATGTCTTCTTCTATAATTTGTTTGATACAAAAAGTCTTTAATATCTAATACAGTATATGGAAGACATTCAAAACTATTCACCAACTGTCATGTTTTGTGAGAGTGTAATGCTACTGGAAAATTTATTGCACAGAGAATCAAGGTTTACGGAGAGTGCATGTTACCGGAAAGTATATTACAGAGAGTACTAAGGTTTGCGGAGAGAGCATGGTACCGGAAAATAGATTAAAGAGAAAATCAAGGTTTACGGAGAGCATGTTAACGGAAAATATATTACAGAGAGTACTAAACTTTACGGAGAGATCTGTTTGGGAAAATAATGTTGAATAACTATTTTTATAAAAAAATGTTCTATATTTTTAAAATTTAATCCTAGTAAATTTATCACTTTTATTGATCTTCAGTGTTCTTTTCGGTTGATGGGGGCAGCAGTAGCAATCAGATTAGTAGGAGAGGAACCAGTTCTTTATTTTTATACCTTCAGAAGGAGACCTTAACGAAGTCCAACTGTCGATTGGCTGAGATCTCAGGCTAACCGAAATCCTCAGTTTCTATTGGTGTTCAATTTTCTCTTGGTATTGTTTAATGTCGGTTTCCTGTATTGGAGGAATTGTTAAAGGAAGCCAATGCCATTCATTCTTCTGATATATTTCTGGAAGAACTTATTCTCCAGATTACCTAAGTTTTGGTTTTAACTTAAAACATGTCATCTGTTCTGCATCCACTGTATATTCAAGCTATCAAGATTCGAGATAAGCAAAGGCATGGATAGCGTTGATTCCAGTTATTGTCGTCTTCCAACTGAAAAGACCATTTTTTTGCTGGATTTCATATAGGTAAGATCAACAAGTTCTCCTTTTCTCTGATCCTTTTGTCGGGATAATGTCAATCAACAAATTCAAACTATTCAATTTTCAAATTCAAACATTTTATTTTGCAATCGATTATTATGCTTCCTTTATAGGAACCTATTTATAAACTTTCTTTTTCATGTTTTAACTTTAATAAAGTTCCGAATAGCTTTTTATTTCTTTTATTTAGCTGACTTTGTCAACACCTTAAGAAAATGAATACAACGAAGGGAAAATAAAAAAGAATGGTTTGTTTAGCTTTCAAAGTTTTTAATACAGGGTGTCCCAAGAAACATGACAGTTGATGAATAGTTTAAAATGTCTTCTTCATAATTTATTAAGTTGTTTGAGACCAAAGAGAATAATGAAAAACTTTAATATTGCAATAATATTAAAGTAAAATTGATTTCTAAGTACAGTATATTTGAGTAAAAGATTTTTGTAACGAAATTAACGGCAAAAAATCTTAAATATCTAATACAGTATCTAGAAGTAGACATTCAAAACTATTCAACAACTGTCATGTTTCGTGAGACACCCTGTACCTTAATTACAAAAAGCTAGTTTTGCTGGTTTAAAAAAATGACAATTGAATTCGTTGTAAAAAGTTTTACTAGAATTTAATAAATACACAATAAACTTTAATTTTCTTGCAGTATCCAGTAAATGTTTGTGTTCTGTATTTTTACCAATAGACCAGACTAAACCTTTAAGTTTGATCTTTAGTTAAAATCCATATAAAAGTAAGATTTAGTTGTTTGGTATCCAGTACAGAGCATGATACGGTAATGTTACTTCGATCCTACGGCATTTCTGTCCTACAGTACTTCCGTCCTGCGATACTTCAGACCTATACTACAACATCGGACCTACCAGGGATCTTGCTGTTCCCGTTGTTGCACATAAATTTGTATGCCTGATGCACAACTTTGTAGGTCGGTTGAACACATTTAATAGGTCAGATGTACTCAAATCCTGAGTCATTTGTAGGAAAGATGCACACATTTCATAGGTCTGATCTGATGCACAGTTATTAAGTATTTTTAAATATCAAGCAAATGGAATAAAGAGTATTTTATATTCCATTAAACGATATGCACTACATTCAAAAATCTACAAGGATATTATATTTAGCACATTTAGATCATATTTTTACATAAAATGAAAACATTTAATAATGTTTCACTAGAGCTGAAAACTTTAGATATCGAGATTAATGCTTGATCCTCTCTTTTTGTTAATATCGAGACTAACTTAATCTTGTACTTTGTATCCTGAAGTGTATAAAATTCAACCAATCAGAGTCGCATATATGAAGCCGATAAATTTAAACTTTGCCCGCCATTTGAGATTAATATGCAGAATCGGGAGGAACTCCCTAATTTTAAAAACCGTTTTTGATTTTTCTCTAATATATCCAAGAATGAACGGTTTCAGAAGAAAATAAAAAGTGTGTCCATTTGATACTCAGATTAATAATCGAGATAAGCGATATCTTATTCTAAAGTTTTCAGCTCAGTACAGATTTAAAAACATTTACTTAGAATTATTTGGGTCCGAAATTAAACAAAACTAATCAAGTATTTTTTTTGTGAACACGTATTTTCATTCGAGTATCCTTGTATTTAGCCTAAAATTGAGAACAGCATATAGATAGAAATCTGAAAAAAATTATTGTCAAACTTTTCACAATTTTTTCAACAATTTGCTGAAGGTAAAGGTTAGTATTAATTTCCCCACTTTAAAAATCTCAATTTTATCTGAATTATTAAAAATTCTATAAAAACACGTAGATTCATTTCTCTTCCTTCCAGGTAACAGGTAAAGAATGAATGAATGAGACTAACAATAACAATAATTTTTCTCAAAATATATGGATGGAGATATTTTTTCATCAGATCTTTATAATTACAAACCCGTGTATAACCAATACAGTGATATCCAATAAAAAGCTTAATAGTTGCCGTCGTCGCTGTTTCTTTAAACAAATTTTCGCCAAGGATTATCTATTTGGAGCTATTTATACAGTGTTCACCAAGAAACAGGAAAATTTGAAGATGATCAAGCATTCAAAACGCATTCCTGAGCTCGCGACTAAAAAAATACGGCTCGGGTCTAAGCTGGCGTTGGGCCTTATTAACGGCTTGAGCTTTCGGGTTTTTTTTGAGAACAAGATTCAATATTGAGCATTATTCTCAACTAAAACCAACCAAAGTCGGTTTTATTTTCACTGGGCCTAACTCTTTAAGTCGAGCCTAAGATCAATCAAGTGACACAAGCTGTCGTTAGAGTTGGGTCGAAGATTGGGTCTTAAAGTCGGGTTTAGGGAATTACAAGTTTTTAAATCGCGGGCTCTGGTCACTTAAAATTGTGTAGTAAATTTATAAAATATAATATGTCAAAATATACCTAATGCAGCAGTTTTTAAGTACGGTTTGTTCAGAAATATGCTTAATCACCTTTAAAATGTCATGCTTAGTGGAAATTATTTTAGCAAACATACCAGGGAATATTTTCATTTACATATTTTTCTTTATATATCACATAAATAAAACAGTTACTTTTAAAAAAAATCCTTGGAGGTATTCGTGATCAAAATAAATGTCCAAGACAGTAACCATTCCACTTTAAACTGGTGAACACTGAAGTTGAATTCTTAAAAACCATATGGCTCAGTGAGGCCAAATCATAAGCGTAAATATAGTTACAAAACATGTGGATAATTTACCCAGTTCAAATTCTATTTAAAAACCGTTTTAAGGATAATCATGCATGGTGCAAAACCAAGTATTAAAGTTAACTGAGATACAATTAATGAATCAACATTTTATTTAAAAAAATGGTTATCTTTAAAGGAGTGTTCGCGAAAAAAAGGGAGAAAATTGTTAAAAACAACACATACCGAAGAAATTCAGAAAGTAGCAATATTTGACTCGGATTATCGCAAAATCTATTTAATTCCAAACAAATCATTTAGATATTACAACCTATATTGTTTCACGAGTCATTTGTATATAGTTGATATTTCCTGATATTTAAGGTTTTTATGATCCGAGAGTTAATAACAGTCATTCCGGTTTCGAAGATTTTTGAAGGCGACATTTTTACATTTTCCAGGAATGTCCGAAAATCGAGCGTCAGCCATGAAAACAAGTTGTAAGCGAAATATAAATTTTATAAAACAAAATAAAAATATTATGAAATATCAACTATATAGGAATACATCAAAAATAATCGATGTTTATAGGTTGTAATATCTGAATGATTTTTTACGATCTGAGTCAAATATTACAACTTTCTTAATTTCTATGTACCTAAGAACGTAGCGTTCTTAGGTATGAGTAGTTTTTTTTAACAATTTTCTCCTTATAGAAGCAACAGATAGAAGTAAGATTAGTAGCTATCACTATCGAATATTTTTCGACGCAAGCCTATGCCCCCTTTATTTTTCGCAAACACTCCCTTTAATTCTTCAGCAGTGGTGGTAAATACTATTCGGTGAAACGCTAAAATTAAAAAGAAAACATCAAATAACAGTTACACAGCTTAAAAATGTCTTTTAATAATTCTGTTCTAAAAACTCTAAAATGAAATGCTACGTTTCAATAGTGTACTAATGCGCACGAGAAAGACCATGTACATTGTACACGTTAACCCTGTGTACAGTGTACATGAGTTACACGATGGTATCTGCTAATTCTCCACCTTTGAGAGATTGTACATGGAATATTTAGGGTTCCCAGACACGTTCTCAGCGATGTCCAGGAACGGTGGTAGGATCAATTCCTGAATACAATGACATGTTAATACAAGGTGTTCTAAAATCTAAAACTGAGTCATTGGTCTATATTTATTTTGCTGCCTGTGTGTCTGTTTAAACCTCACAATAAGTGTGTTTATTGTTTTGGTGAGCTTAAAAAAAGTTAAAGTTTGGTTTTATAAAACTTTTCAATATCCTTAAAAATGGAATAACGATTCAAAAACGATCATTGTGACACAACACGTTCTTGTTGGGATCTTTTTTTTGGGCATAAATCAAAATGTTCTATTAAAATCAAGACCTAATATTTTTTGCTAAAAGATGATAGAAAATGAAAATAAACAAGCTGAAAGTGTCGATAGGAAAGTAATTTTTGATAATTCGGGATATCCGTATATTTTTCTCCTTTCTAGGAAACTTAAGCTAAGTTCTAATTTTTTGAAACCCCACAACTTTAATCTGAATAATAAATAGTTTGATATAACGTGGCTAAATGCTATTTTTAACGGCATAGTTTAAGAATAGACGAAAACTGTGAAAAGTTTTTTTTTTTGGGGGGGGGGCAAATTAAAGTACAATTGGCACATTTAATTAAGAGTTAATTTAACATCATTTCACCGGAAAAAAAAACAAAATTAGCCACAAAGTTCAAGCGCCATTTTTAATAATATATAAGCTTTATAGTTCAACAGTTGCAAAAGGAATCTTTGAGTTTCCAAGCTGAGCCAATTTTGATCCTTAAAAATTGGCAGAGATATTTAATTTTTTTTTAAATGAAAGACGACTTATAGTTTGTCCATGTACGATGGAATCTTTGTATTATTGTGGAATAAGAAGACGATTTTTATGTGAATTTCATATTGTTTTACAACTAGTTTCAGTAGCTTAGAAATCAACTTATTAACTAGTTTTAGTAGCTTGGAAATCAACTTATCAACTAGATTAAGTAGCTTAGAAATCAACTTATCAACTAGTTTAAGTAGCTTAGAAATCAACTTATCAACTAGTTTTAGTAGCTTAGAAATCAACTTATCAACTAGTTTTAGTAGCTTAGAAATCAACTTATCAACTAGTTTTAGTAGCTTAGAAATCAACTTATCAACTAGTTTTAGTAGCTTAGAAATCAACTTATCAACTAGTTTTAGTAGCTTAGAAACCAACTTATCAACTAGTTAAAGTAGCTTAGAAATCAACTTATCAACTAGTTTTAGTAGCTTAGAAATCAACTTATCAACCGAAAAATGTGTAGTTGCAGTTTTAAATGTAAATTTTCATTTTAAATCATTATGTGCGTTTAAGAGTCGGCCTACTAATCCACGGTTTATGGGTCTTACTTGAAGAGAAAAATTCAGAACTATTTGATGAGGTACAAAAACAAGAATTTTTTGCCATTAATATTTATAAGAGATTTTACAGGATTTTTGGTGGAAATGACGAAAATTTTAAGAACTTTTCCCCTCGACAATTAAGAACATAAAGAAGGAATTGCTCTTTTTACGCCAAATCTTAAATCTAATTAAGAAAATTTTTCAAAATTAGCCAAAGTATGATTGAAGGATGGCACGACAAGAAAAAAAAATTGAAGAACAAGAAATTAAGAAATCTCAAAACATTTCCATCTGATATCACATAAATATTTAAAAATATTGTAATAAATTACTAACTATTAATAAATTGTAGCAATAAATTATTAGAGTTAAAAAGAGCAGGGGACTGCCTTGTAATGTTGGTTTAAATCAAAAAGTAACTTGAAAATCAACTTTTTAACAGAACACTGCAAAATTATTGTGTTTCATGTTAATTTGTACATTTCAAATCATTATATGTGTCTAATAGTCGGCCTACTAATCCACGGTTTAATGGGTCTCACTTTAAGGAAAAATTCCAGAACTACATAACTTATTGACAAATAATTTTTACCAAAACCGTAATTTCGAAACTCTTTTCTTTGGGGTAAACAATATCAAAAGGGTGGACAAACAAAATTTGGACTGAAATTTAAAACATCTAAAAAAAGGTTAATACCTCAGGAGGAAGAGGAGAATAGGTCTCAAGTAGCATTAACCCAGGATGCGGAGCCTAAACATTATTATTAAAGGAACTGTAGACTAAATTTCACGTTACCCTCCATTACCAACAATAAAGATAAACTGCAAAATGAATCAGTCTGTCTATTTCCTTCCTAGCATTTTTATCTAGCACCCGAAATAGAAATTTTCAGATGGAAAAAAGAATATCAAGAAAATCCGGGAGCCGGTTAAACTTTAGAGAACAATATTATAATTTTGTACATTCTAGGACGATGAATACTTTATAATTCTACTTTAAGAAAATTGAAAATCAGAAATCTTTGTCAAAAGTGAAACAAAGATGTTCTAAAAATTTTAAAATATTTAGCTTAAATTTTTTGCTTACCTGAAATATATCAAGCTGATAGATTTGATCATTGTAGACGAAACATCGTCGTGTCTTTTCTATCGTTACGTTACAACTCCTATCCACCTATATATTAACAATAATAGGTCGTCTTTGGGATATCTCTAAAAGAAGGTGGTTACTGTTTGGCCAGAGGCCGAATTTTAAGAATTAGAGCCGCGGCTCAAAATGGTTAATTCCACTTAATATTGTATTGCATTTTTAAGATTTAAGCCGGCGCTCAAATTAAACCGGTTTTTGGCAGATTGAAGCCGCGGATCAAATTAATTTAACTCGGACACTGTATACATTTTTTATTTGTCATTTTTCTTAAGAGCAGTTGTACTTCAAATAAAAAATTTTATTTGAGGTATAATTACTGCAAAAAATGTGTCAAATAAGTATTTAGTGATTGAGGGCCAAAATCTTAACGTCAGAATTTTTAAAATAAATAAATGCTTGATCTTACAATTAAAAATTCATTTCTTGTATATATTTTTGAAAAAAATAAGAAGAATTTGTGAGATTGGAAATAATGGAAGTTTTTAATTCTAAAAAAAGTTTTCTCGCAAAAGTGTTTGTCTGCTAGAGTTGCGCAGACAATGAGTTGTTATCTCATTCATGATTTGACATCTGTACTATGCTTGTACAAAGTACAATACGAGTTGGCCAAGAAATAGGAAAGAGGAAGAAGCATTGAAACCAAAAACAAAGTGTTTACAAATGTACTGAAACTGGTATTAAAGTCATTGCAATATATAAAACATATAATTTTGATGAAATATCTTTTGAAAAAAGTTCTTAACTTCCTTCTTATTTTTAATCAAAATCCACTGTACAAAGTCTTGTCAATGTACTTCCTTGGTATTCTAAGTGTGAGTGTGTACATGATTTATTGATTAATTGATTGTAGGGAGCACAGTTTATTAAAATTGAATTTAAGGGTAAATTATTTAATGTTTGCAATCAAAATATTTTTGTTGAATGTTTGTCCACTTTTACAGCTATTTTGATTGTAAAAATATTATTTTTCAATATTAGTGTGATAATGTGATTGAAGATGTTAACCATTCTTCTTTAAATTGGTTGTTACTATATCCTAAAAACTTAGCATCATGAACTATTTAAGGTAAATTAAATTTTAAGAACTCATTTTGGAAATAAATTAATTGTGGCTCTATCTGTGAGCATCTTCTCTTTGTACAAAATAAAACAATAAAAAAAAGCTAGCGGATTTCAATATATTTTTATCGCGCATTTTCAAAATTTTACAAAAATCAAAAACTTTTGGACACAAATTTTTGTAACTTTGAGCATCCATAAACCTTCCCTGGGGTCATGTGAGGTCCCACACAAAATTTGGGCCCGATCGGTTCAGGACCGTTTTTACGTTCATTGGATACAAATGGACAGAAAGACAAACAGAAAAGCAAAGTATATAAAGACTAGAAATTCAAGGCGCTTCGCGCCCATCTTTCTAGGCTTTTAGGGCGTTTCGCGCCCATCTTCTATTTAAATTGTGAACATGTTCTTTTTGTTTACATTCAAAAACAAAGAAGAAAAAATTTTTGCGGATTTTAAAAAAAATTCGCGGATTTTCAAGAATTTAATTTTTTTTATAAAATTAAAAACCTTTAAAACACATTTTTAAAAAATTTTTATCATTCAAAAACCTTCCCTGTGGTCACGTAATGTCCCACAAAAAATATGGGCCCGATCGGTTCAGCCGTTTTGACGTTTATTGGATACAAACAAACAGACAAGCCAAATTTATATATAGACTAGCCTTAGAGGGCGCTTCGCGCCCATCTTCTAAATTAATTGTGAACATGTTCTCTTTGTGCACATCGTGAAACAAAACAAAAATAATTTGCGGATTTTCACAAAAAATTTCGCGGATTTTCAAAATTTTCAAAAATTTAATGACGAGTGAATTTTGATGGAGACAAATTTTTAAAATTTCAATCATTCATAAACCTTCCTAATGTCCCACAAAAATTTGAGCCCGATCGGTTCAGCCGTTTTGACGTTTATTGGATACAAACAAACAGACAAGCCAAATTTATATTTAGATGAAAAACTTGTAATTTTCTGGCAAGATTTTCCACCCCTTTAAATACTTTTTAACAAAAAAACTTATTTAATTTCAAGGTAAAATCCATTTAGTTTTCCCATTTCAGCGTATTAAACTTAACTTTTTTACATATCCAACATGTGAAAAAAAAAATATTTGCAAAGGGAAGGGAGGGGGGGGGGGAAATTTTTCCCATAAAATATGCACCCCGGGATTATTTGTTGTTCTAATGTAGGAAGGTTGACAGGTGGTAAATAATGCATCATATTGTACAACTAATATCTAGGTTTAGATCATAGATTAGAGAGATAGAATGTTCTTATACAGCACTTGGTCAAATTTAGCCTCCTCCTTTGTACCATACAAAATATTGAAGATACTTAAGATTTAAAGAAACCTTCGCCATATTTAATACTTTAAATTTTAGACAAAATTATCGTTATCTCAGTCAATTCTTAAGGTACAAAAACGGCAGACCACATTTTGGAAAGGCGCACATGATAATACAAATGTTTTGGAGGCAATGCTATGTTTACAAGATTTCAGCTACAGTATCTTATTTCTGCTAACTCCAGGGCCCACGATCTACTAAAGTTCATCTCTGATTTGGACTCTGAACTTCATTTCTAACTTTTTAAAAAATGCAAATAATTTGCATAGAATAAACAATAGCGAAACCTTAAAGACACTATGCAGAGATTTTGAAAATTTTCCGAAAAATCTAGGGTCCACTCAGCTAGAACAGCTCTGGACCACACACACAAAATTACATGTACGCTGGCCCAGAATAGTATAGATCGGTGGATATAAGAAGCATATTCATGAGCGGACCGTGCTGCATCGTACTTTACTGCAGTAGCATTTACGAATCAGGAAAACGTATCCATAACGCAACGTTACCTTACAAGTTACATAACGTTTCTGAAACGTTCTAGAAACGATATTTGGTTTGTCGGGTGAAGGGGCTACTACAGGAATACGTCAGGGGGGAGGGGGGTTTAAAGACGAAAAAACAATAACGACGAACACATTTTCAATGTTTAATTGTTACAGAATCCTTAATTTGCTAATTTTACTTTGCAATTATCCCAGCAATTTAAACCTTGGAGAAACTTCCCAATTGACCTATCTATGTGAACTATGATCTGTAATATCTCTGGATAAAACCAGGGGCCCCTCCTTGTCCTATCTATGTCAACTATGATCTCCAAAACTAAAGAGGAACCTTGTCCTGTCTATATCAACTATGATCTGTCATATCTCTGGATAAAACCAGGGGCCCCCTCCTTGTCCTATCTATGTCAACTATGATCTCCAAAACAAAAGAGGAACCTTGTCCTGTCTATATCAACTATGATCTGTAATATCTTGAGATAAAACCTGGAGCCCCTTCCTTGTCTTATCTATGTCAACTATGATCTGTAATATATGTGGATAAATGCAAAACTGTGTCCACACTCCACACTGCTCTACAATACACTTTACTGAACATCGTTCATGCATAATAAAAATATACAACCCCCCCCTCTACATTTTCTCTCTTTAGTCCTCACCCTTCTCCTTTACCACCCACCCCCCACAAAACCTCTTCATCAAAAATACCCCCCCCCCCATCGCAACAAGATCATCTATTTATGTACTTATCCTGTCTGTCTGTCTCTCCGTGTGTATCAAATTTAAGCATCAAAACGGCTAAACCGATCGGGCCGAAATGTCCCTGAGGTTTATGGATGGTTTATGACAAAAAAAAAAATTGTCCGAAAAATGCGCAAATTCAATTAGTAACCTGAGAAAGCAGCTGATCATAGATTTGCCGCGTTATACTCGTCCTAAAAATAAAAACATATTCATAAATTTTTAAAATGCAGACAGACCCACTTTATGGACTTTTTAATAGTTTTAATGGTTTAATATTCAAAATTAGTAAGAAAAAAAACAAGGTCTTCTTTCTTTAATTCCAATGCATTTAAGGAAACACTTTTGAGCGTTATATGGTTTTATTCTAACCTATTACTTCAGATAAAATTCAAAACATAGTTGTTAGAAACGCGGTTTTTAGAAGCTCACTTAACTTCTGATCATTTTATATATTCGATTAGAATTTGAACATCCGAGGTTTTCAGTAAAATATTTTTGGTCCAAGGGGGAGGAGGTGGGTTTCCAACGCAAGTGGATTTTGCTCAAAACTCAGCGCCATTGCGCCAAATTCGAGAACAATTGATCGCAATTACGCGCAATTCGAGAACAGTTGCGCGCAATTCCGCGCAACGGAATTCCGATTAGAAATCTAAGGAGGAGGGTTCATAACAACTATGAAAATTATATTGCTTCGGTCTAAAATAACTGTCATTCAGTGTTTTTTTTGCTAGAATCTGCGTTTTTATTAAAAATATTTCCAGCAATTATATCTGCACGGACCTGGTCTCTACGATCTCCCCTCCCTCATCCATCTCCCTCCTAACTGTGTGGGTGTACATCCATTTCCCTCCGATTCCTCGGCGTCGAATACGCGCCTGAGCGCCCCCTGGGGTGCACGGTAGATAATCATGATGCACCTTAACAAGAATATGAAAAGATCAAAGTATCAAGGGGGGCTGTTATGGGTTTTAAGGAATCACAGGGTTCTGGAGGGATCTCATGGTTTTAAAGAGATCCCATGATTTTGAAGGGAACTCATGGTTTTTGAAGAAATCCCATGAAATAAGAGAAATTCTAGGGTTTTAAGGGATTCCAGAGTTTGCAGAGATTCTAAGGTCTTGGAGGGATTATAAGGTTTGAGGAATCCCTAAGATTAAGAGGGATTCCAGAGGTCTAGACTGAATGGCAAGTTTAGAATTAAAAGGTTTAATGGAATGTCAAAAAAAATCAAGCTGAAAAAAAGGAAAAAATCTTAAAAAAGGAAATTTTTACACTTTCTTGTGACGTACAGGGTTTCCACAAAGGATGCGACTATATTGACGACTGTACGGGATTTATACTGTCTGTTTCTTTACATTCATGATTAACTTTAAACTAATCTCTTGCATTGTCAAATAATTAAATAAGCCCTTTAAAGACCACATTCAAGTCGTCTTCACAGTCTCATCCTGTCTTATGAATCTCTAAAGAAAACAATAAAATTAGGCGTGGTTCCTAGGCGTGGTTCCTAACTTGGCGGAGGGGGGGATAGATAAAACTCCTAAGAATGCGCGATACCGGATAATATTTCTTTAATTCTCTCTCTCTATGACAGCTTGCCATGACAGCTTGTTTCTATAGATAGTACGGGTTAAGGATGGTTATTATGAATCTGATACAATAAGGTTGATTTTA